TAGCTGGGACTCCAGGTATGCACCACTCTGACTGGCTAATTTTATTTTTTATAGAGATGGGGAGGATGTCATTCTGTTTTGCAGGCTAGTCTTGAACTCCTGGCCTGAGGTAATTATCCTGTCTTGGTGCCTTCCAAAATGTTGAGATTATAGCAATGAGCCACAGCACCTGGCTTGGTTTGTTTTTACAAGTTTACTTTTGACTACTGTGTAGAGAACTAGAAAGGGGCAAGAAGAGGACTAGAGAAATCAACTACAAAGCTGTCTGTTGTCTTGGTGAGAGAAGATAGACTTCTTTGGCAGGCATGGAGGTGGTGAGAAGTGGTCACGTTGTCCTAATGAGAATGGGACCTGGATACGGTATTGTGAAAGAATGAGAATTATTAAAAACATCTGAATTTTGAAGGTGGGTGGAATCAAGAGGGGTGACCTACTTTAGTGATATCCCATGGCTGCCAAGTGATGATGTTTGGTTTGATGGCAGGGTAGGATGGGATGGGAGGAATAAGTATAGTTGGGAAAGACTAGGGCCCCGAGCTGAGTGCATGAAGCATTAAGAGGATCCAGGACTGTGTCCATTGAGGAGGAGGAAAACTCAGCTAGGCTAGTGCTTTTTTGTTTTTGAGACAGAGTCTCACTTTGTTGCCCTGGGTAGAGTGACGTGGAGTCATAGCTCACAGCAACCTCAAATTCTTGAGCTTGAGTGAGCTTCTTGCCTCAGCTTCCCAAGTAGCTGGGACTACGGGCGCCTGCCACAATGCCCAGCTAGTTCCAGCCAATTTTTCTATTTTTAGTAGAGACTCGCTCTTTTGCTCAAGCTGGTCTCAAACTCCTGAGCTGAAGCAATCTACCCACCTTGGTGTCCCAGAGTGCTGGGATCATAGATGTGAGCTACTGTGCCCAGCCTCAGGCTAGTATTTCTGGAAAGCAAGTAAAGAGACATTCTAGCAAAGAGAGTGTAGTCAGCATCATCAAATGGTGCCAAGAAGTCAAATGAAGGTGAGACTCAGAATTGTTTTTTGGTGACTTTAATACAAATGGTGCTGGGGTTAGGGCTAGGGATAGGGAAGTAATAAGCCTGATTGGAGTGCTTGGATTTTCTGTGGGAGGTGAGCATAGACAGAACATGAGTATAGCACTCTTTTCTTTAAGGGGCAATATGAGATCAGGGAATATCTATCATTGTATGCTATTGGAAATGAGGGGCTGGTGGTGGAGGAAAGCCTCATCATACGGCAGGGGGCTAAGGTGCTGGGGTAGGCGTGGGAGTTGGGATGGAGGTAATCTGGTCCATGGATGCAGTGGGGGGCTTGAGTTGGGACAGGTCCTTCATTGTAACAGGAGAAAGTTAGAAAATACGTACAGATGGTTGACAGATTTTTTTGGTGACGAAAAAACTAGGAAGCTTTCATTTTATCATTGTTGCTGTGGTAAGGGATTTAAAGAAAAATTACAGATGTTATAGACAGTTAAATATTCATTTCTTCATTTGTTCCCTGCCTCCTCCTACAATTGAGAGAGCTTTGAACATTTGCTGTCCCGAAGGTAGAAAAATTAGAATGCGGGAAGTGACAGTGCAGGTCTCAATTTATTCTTTTGTTTGTCCTTTATTCGTTCCTTACTTTATTTACCCAGTACAAATATTTATTGAGCAAATATTTTGTGAATGCCTTGTATATGCCAAGCATGGTCTGGGTCCTGGAGGGGCAGTAGTAAACACATCAAGTTTCTGCTCTCATGAAGCTTAGATTCTAATTTATCCTGGAAGATAAATATATTTGCGTAGATGTTATGTGCTATAAAGGGAGAATTAAGCAAGGGAAGGTGGTGGAGAGAGATGGTAGGAAAGGAGAGTTTATATTTGTTTTTATTTGAGTAGGGACCTGTGCACAGTGAGGAGCTGTTTGGCCTCCTGCAGGGGGAGCTTTCCAGACCTGGTTACAACCATGAACTTGCTCAGGGAGGGGGAAGTGTGTGGCTGAGCAGAAACCAGGCTGGCTGGAGCTGGAAGGAGAGAGATGAAGGCTAAGAAGGTGCTCAAGGCCAGGCTCCAGGGAGCATTCCAGAACCAAGTAAGACTCAGAAAGACGGGAGGGACTGGGGGTTCTGAGCTCAGGAGGGTCAGGCTGTGATTTAAGTTCTAGAAAGTTCTCAGTGTA